GGTAGAGCAGTTTATATGCCAAGCGGATTTTTGTTCTCGGATCAGGTTTTTAATATGTGGGGTAACCCAAGGATCATACTTTTTTTTTTGTTTTATTAATCTTGGGAATAAAATATGTGCAAGCAGTGCGATAGTTAGAAATTAGTATATTGAACATTTGATCTGCAGTTTTATGCAGGAATAAAAACTCCCAGTCGATTGATGCAATAAAGTTAGATATTGAATCGTAATCACCTTTTTTGTAATTAAACGATTGAGATTCACTTTTGGTAAACAGTTCTGAAACTAAGAATCTCCAAGTGATACTAAAATGACCCTTAGTGGTGTTATCTAGTATAGTACTAGGAGACAAGTTTAAAATAGAATTACTGTTGTAGGTAAATAACAAGTCCAACATATTATTTGAGGAACCATAATCAGTCTGGAAAGTAGGAAATGTGATATGTTGAGTAAAAAGGCTGTTTTGGAAAATATTCCAGAAATCATACTCGGTAGGATTGTTTGGGTTAAAAGATTCAATACCATCGTTAGACCACTTTATATTCGGGAAGTTAAAGTCACCGACAATCAAACAGTCATCATAGGGCTTTTTAATTAAACTATGAGCTAATTTGAAGGATTCAGCGACATATTTTATTAAACTGGCATCATTTGGTCTGTATATACAACCGATAAGTATATGTTTGTTGTTAAATTTTACAGATACCCAGACTTGTTCGAGAAGATTTGTATAAAATTAGTTAACTTCATGAGAGTTAAATACGTCTGTAATGTAGATAGCTACACCGCCACCTCGACGTCCGTCTTGACGATCTTTACGATATAGGCTATACCCATCGATATTAGGTACTGAGTCATTTCGAAACCATGTTTCAGAGATAGCAATAACGTGATAATCAAACGTTCTAGATATTGAAATTAAATCGGCCATTTTATTATCGAGAGATGTAGCATTAGTATAATAACAATTAACGCTATAGTTTGTTTTTTTGTTATGAAGATTTTTACTTTTGTATTTTAAGTTTGCTGGTAAAAGAGTGGAAGAAGGGTAGTAATGATTATGTAGTGGTTTGTATATTTTTGAGTTTGACGACTCCGCTGCTTCGTATACCGTATCTAAAGGGCGATGTTTTTAAATTGATATTACTATTTAATTCATTACGCTTCATTCTTAACTGATAGTTTAAATATCTTTCAGCCTCAGTCAAATCTGGGCTTATAAAAATATTTTTATAATTATCTGAATTTTTCAATTTTTTTGCTGCTGTTAATAATGGGTTTCTTTCGGAGACATCAGAAAGTTCGACGATAATTGGTCCTGGTTTAGAGGACGTAGATTTAATACGTTTGACAGATTTTGGTTTTGCATCAGATGAAATAGAAACTAAGATATTCTGAACCGTTTCCTTATCGTCGATATGCTTATCAGCAACTGATAACTTTGCAGATTCTTTAATGCCATAAATAATAACATTTTTTTCACGCTTCTTTTTTTGCTGTTGCTCAATGGCAAATGTGTTGATAATTTTTAGTTGTTCAATAGGCTGCTTTTTTTTTATGTTTTTGCTTGCAACTGTAACCCAGCTGGATTCGATACTACTGGTTGTGGTATTAGTTAGCTCATTAGGATTTTGGGTTAGCTTATCTATTATTAATTGTTGTTGCTTTATTACTTGTTTTAGTTCAGATATTTTGACCGACCATTTCGCAGTTTCAGCATGAATAAGTTTTTTAATTGCGTCCTCGACTTGCTTTAATTGAGCTGGTGTTAAATTAGTCATCACAGATGATTTTTTTTTTTTTTATATCAGTGATGTTTTTATGTTTATTTATTTGTTACAATTATTGCAAATTTATTTGTTACAATTATGACAAATAACTTATTACACAGGGACTAAAAAGATTCAGTATGTGTTTTTTTCCGTGTTATCATATTTATTTGTATATATTTAATTTCTTTATATTATTTGTATATGTTTATATATAACTTTTTTATATGTATTTTATATATAATGGATATATAATTTACTAATATAGTTTGTGTCAGAGCGCAAAAATTTAGCTTATTGTTCAGAAAACTAAAAACAAAGAACAGGTGCAAACGCAACTTTTGGCGAAGAAAAAGAAAAAAAAAAAAAAAAAAAAAAAAAAAAAACTTTTTATAACTCTGTAAAAAAAAACTTGTTTTTCTTTCTTCTTTTTTTGCGTCTCTCTCTTTTATTGCGTCTTTCACTGGGTTTTAAAATTTTATATGTGCAAATAAAAGTTTTTAACCATTGCCATAATATAGAGACAATGACCAGGGGCGGGTTTTGTCACTCTTCAAAGAGGGGTCTAAAAAAGTCTTTTAAAAAGAAAGTTTGTATCATAGTTGATTCACAAAAGAATATTTCTGAAAAAAAGACTTAAAGGGAGGGGGGGGGGAGCTACTACCCTATGCTTGTTTCTTATTTCCTCAGTACAACCTGGACTTTCGAAAAGCACCTCTAATACCAGGATTGATATTACCTGTTGATATATAGATCGATAGGCCAGGCGTCGTATTGAAATCTCACTTCTATACGCAAGTTCCAATACTTCTTTTACACTTTTTTCCTTCGTTAATTACATAATTAGTGATCAAATTTCTTAATTCAACATTATTATCATTGTCTTTGTGCGTTATTTATTTCAAAGTTGTAAAAAATTAAAGAGAAAACGGGCTTAAATTGTATATAAGGAATTTGAATTAAATGAAGCAATAAAAGCAAAACTATTATTGGCAGTTTTTCTTTATAATTATCATTATAAAGAAAAACCGCCAGATTAAATGCAAAAAACCACTAGATTAAATGCAAAAACCGGTATCATTAAAACTTGCATCATGATTTTTTACTTATATCTATAGCACTAATATTAGATTTGATTTTAAAATAAATCGAATATAAGTTTTATAGCCTTTACTTATTGTTGTTTTTGTTCGGTTATTATATGTTTTATAAACAGTTATATATAAAATTGATCTGAATAAAAAAAAAATCGCAAAAGGAAAAATCCAAACATATGGAGTTAAAGTTATTTGTAGACATCTGCGTCTTCTCGTATCCTTTAGGAAGTTTGGCTTGTCACGGTAGAAAACGATAGTTTATGTTTCGTTCTGTTTTTACGAAACAAAAAAATATCACATCGTTTGCTATGTTTATACATGTGTGTATGCCTGTAATTTTCAAATTTTTTACTATACTACCAGAAGGAACCTCTAAGTTGTGCTTATTCACAATTCTTAGCTAATAATTCATTAAGAATTTGTAAATTTAATGTTTTAGAAAAGGTTGGCCATTATATGACATTTGCTGTTAACTATACAGTTGTGTTATTAAACCTTCTAGCAACCTGTATTGGGTAATTAAGAACTAAAAGTTGCATATAGAAATAGCCCATACCATAAAAAAACGAAATTAAATTTAACTTTTTTTCAAGAGGTCCGAAAAATTTTAAATTCTTGTGGCGAAGAATTTTATCATTTATTTACTTTTGCCAACATCTTTTTTTTTGAATAATGATCTGAACAAATTAAACTGACAGTGTATCTTATTTATTCTTTTCAATACGTTCTTTACAATACGTTACACAATATCAAAACGTAATTTTCTTACGCGTTATGAAGTTATAGAGTTATGCAGTTATACAAGTTAGCACAAAGCTCGACATTGTTTTCATCAGTTGCTCAAAATTTTTATGTACTTTTACATCGCACCAAACATTTAATATTTCGCTGAACTAAAAGTTGAGTTTGCGAAAACGTCTATTGCGTTAAAAATTAGTAATTTAAAGTTTTTAAAAATTAGTAATTTAAAGTAAATTAAGTTTTATCATGTTAATTTGCTTACCAGCTCATTCGTCACAGTTTGGCGCAAATTACTTCAACAATTTTATGCAGAGACAAAGTTCAGCAACTTATCAAAAGAATGTTTTAGTCACCTGCAAAAAAATCTTTTCAGCTCTGGTAAAGTTTTTACGCGTACCCAAAAAATCACTGGGTTTCAGAATACTGGCTTGTTTTTACTCGACATCAATAAAATTGATTAGTCAAAGTTGCAAAGTGCTAATACGTTCGAAACACCGTCATCTAAATCTGAGCCTTTATTATCTCAACAACCAGAATTTATGATAGTACCATCACCAATAATAGCAATGTTGTAGTAATTCGGGCAATGCAAAAGGAAATTTAAAAAGAGGTTGAAAAATAATTGCTATCAGTCCAATCACTTGTAGTACCTTTGCAACAAACGTTACGTATCTAACACGTTGACACAAAACAAGAAGAAAATGTAGATGTGCAAAGGTTCGAAGGGGGGAGTCTCAACAAACCTGAAATACTTGAAAGATTGAAAGATCCTGAGAGCAAAAAAGCAGCAAAACAAGCTAAAAAAACAGTGTAAGCTTAGTTCTAATGGTAAACAGCAAATAAACCAAGCAATAAGTCCAATGAAAATATTAGCTGTAAACCAATTTAAATGTAAAATGCGCTGAATAGTTTTAGGCGAAGCTTCAATAAGTCAAAATATTGAATGGCACCAGTGTGAAAGTTTAACTCGCAAGGTTTGTCAAACATGCATATAAAACGATACGTAAAAGGCGCTGATTTTAATTGTACCAAAAAGTGCCGCACAACTTTTTGCGGTACTCTTTGGTAACCAACAAAAAACAACTAAACATCATCTCGAGAAAAAAAAATTTATTTTATTTGATTGATTTTTTAATTGTTATTATTGATTGTTTTTTTTAACTATTATTAGTTTAAGTAATTAAATTGCGACTTTGTTGATAGATAATTAGGTTGTTATTTTGTTGATAGATAATTAGGTTGCGATTTTGTTGATAGATAGTTTTTAGACTGTCTAAAAAACGTTGTTTTTTAGACAGTCTAAAAAACTATCTATCAACAAAAATATTACAACACAACTTTACCTTGTAAAGTTGTGTTGTAATATTTTTATAATTTTTAACTTTTTTTTTAGGATCGTATTAGAGCATAATGCTTTCCAACTGTTGTCCAATGTATATGTTGGAACTATGAATAAATCTTGTGTTTAAAAACTATAGAAACTTTATTTAAGATTTAATCTTTTTGTTTAAATTTGTTATAAATAAAAATTAAACTTGTAGTTTTCTTGACCTAATATTTAGTCATTTTCTTTGTTATGTTTAATTGTTTTTAGGCCTAATTTTAGGTTTGTAATAGACAGGATTTATGAAATACTGGAAGTTGGTAAAAGTTATTTGCTGTTTAGGCAGAGGGCGCGCAATAGTTGAAGGGATTAAAAATATTGTGTTTAGATACCCAGGTAGGTTTGATTTAAAATTTTGTGCGTAAAAATCTTTTCGCAAATTTTATATGGCTGTTATAATAAACTTAAAAGTATTTGATCGAGTCATTTGTAAAAATTTACTTATTATTTATATTTTAACATTATAATTTTTTTTCTCCTTCTTATTTTGTGAAATATAAGCTTTTCTATTTATTGTGAGAAATATTTTTCATCTGCTGAACTCTCACTTTTTTGGAGCTGGTATATTTTATTTATATACCGTTAAATGGGCGTTGCAAATTGTTTAGTCAGTTCCCTAGTAGTTTGGAATAGTGAAAGACTTCCCATATCGCATGTAATTAATAGTCAAGTTAGGATCAGAAAAGGTTTTAAGCGATATACAAATTCATTCACAAAAAATTCAATATCCAAATATAAAATTTTGGCACATAGTACTGTATGTGCCGAAATAATATATTTGGATTGTTTTATTAAAGCCATTTACGAAAACAGTTCCACGATTTCTATTATTTGCGCGCATCTAAACATGCCCCAGAAAACACATAGTGACTTTAGGGATTGTCCTTAAATTACGCAACGTTAAATTTAACTAATAGACAAGATCAAAAGTTTTTCTTTGCATAGTCTTTAATTAAATAAAAATAGCCCTTCAATTCCAGTGAAAGTCGCCGCGCAAAAAAGTAAATGATCTCCTACTTCTATTTTAAAATAAGTTTAGCGTTGCGTTGGTTTCCTTCACATTATGGCTGCTAATCTCAACAAATTTCTGTAGGTTTAATTGATTTGTTTGTTTAAATAAGATGTTAAGTTGTTTAATTTATTCAATTACGGTGTTTGTTTTTTAACGGTACGTTTTATAAAATTAATATTAAAATGATTAAATAAAAATCAACGCAAAAGTTGTTTAAATAAGAGGTAAAGCTTACAGCAGTGCCGTGGCTAGTGGGTTGGAAACCCCTTTATTCTCTTTTAAAAAAAACCAATTAGTCATTTGGGCCCCAAAATTTTCAAAAATTTGCCACTAGGTTTTATAAAAATAAAAGTTTCTTAAATTTGCAAAAAGACTCCTAAAATTGCTGCCCCTTTCTTCCTATTTGTTTGGTAATATTTACTATTCCCGTCAGTCACTTAAAAAAATATTTTATCTAAAAATTGGCTTGTTTTTACCCATTTTTGGCTTATTGGCGGGAATAATAAATACTGTTCAATATTATTCGTTGTTAATTTAAAATGTTTATGAAGGTCTATGTTATAACATATTAACACTAACATAATAAGAAGAATCCCCAAGAATTACTAATGTGTCGCCAAGAATTACTAATGTGTCATCCAAATATACTGCTCCATTGTAAAGCCTAGAATGTCGAAAAAAGTCTAACTCTCCTTCTTGATAAAATTAGTTAATGAGGGAGGTTTCTCCTTTAGGTAAACATGCATTGGAGGCATCTCACCCCTTAGTCTATCTCTCCCGAGTGGCTTTCTATCTGTGACAAACAGAACCTTGGCCATCTCCTCCATCTGCGCAAAGTTATTACTGTCCTTGGAAGCCAAGAACATTACTACCAAGGAAGGGTCTAGATACCAAGTGTGGTTTCTCCACGATTTAAATACTAACTTGCAGCATTAGTTCAGCTATTTGCCAATAGCTGAACTGATCCTAAATAAAATTAATTCGAATATTATTTTTACCTAAAATCAAGCTTGCGCAATACAAACATAAATAAAAAACACTTTCATTATTTCTATTACTATTTTTGTGAAACAAATATTGCATATTGCACAATGAAATCACGCCATGTGTTATTTTTTTATCATACTTTTTCTATTTTACCTATATAGAAGCAGAGCCTGGAAACTCAAAAGTAAGGAACCAGGAAGTGTAAAATATGGCAATAAAGTCTGAAACAAGACATGAACAGTTGGTTTTCTGGCTCAACGGTTCTTTTACCAGCAACTTTGGAATTGAAGTCTGCATGCCAGCATAAGCAACGGTCGGTCATGAAAGTAAGCCAACCTTGTGCATGCTCCTCTGAGGCGTCCAATATTTGAAGCTGTAATTTCAAAACATATTCCACATATCCACTCGCCAATATCATAAGAATCCAACAACTTTTGAATTGCTTCAAACTGAGCCTCGCCAGTCCCATGAGCTAATTTTGGAACACCAAGAAGATGTGTTTCTCTCTCGTGCTTTATAAGAACACAGTTTATCTATAGATTCATCTGTTGATCCTATGTATTCCTTGATAATTTCCCCTCAAAATGCACAATAGTTTGCATATCAGCATCTGTCACTTTTTTTTTTAGGTTAGCTTTGAGTGCAGCAGCGTCCTTGTGTATAATCTAGTCTGAGATTCTTCGTCCAGGAGTTTTAGTTAATGTTATTATGTCTATATCTCCACCAAACTGCTCTACAACAGAAACTATTAAAAGCATTTACTTGGTGAGGACTGATCTTCATACCAATGGCAGTTCTGACAGTTTTAGACAAAATATTCTTAGGCATAACTAAAATTTGTTCTGAAGTCTTTTCCTGTGGTATTTCAAAATTTTCGTCATCAAAGCTAGGTTCTTTTTCTGTTTTATCTGATGCAAAGTCAATGTTAACAGTGTCAGATTTAACCTTAACAAAAGCAGTTGGTTTTTCCTGCTTCCTTTGTCTTTCCAATCTTTGTGCTACAGACTCAAACCTTTCATCAACTTTAACAATCAACATCTTTCTTTCTGTCATCTGATCATGAATAAAAGCTTCATCCTCTAAGTTGCCCTCGGTCATCCTTAATCTACTAGATTTCCAGACTTCTTTTTAGAAGATCCATATCCAAACTTGCCCAAAAAAAACTTTGATAAAAACAACTGTTGTTTTAAAACTCTTAATATGCGCCTCAAAGAATAATCAAAGCAAATGTAATTAGCTTAGTTCACTTCACATATTTTGACTTATTTTCTTAATTAACCCAGAAATTTTATAAAGTCAACCAACAGAAAATTTTTAAATTTAATTAATTGTTTTATATTAACAGAGATAACTATATTGAAACTTGTGACCTTCAAGTTTAATACTAAACCTCTTACGCGATGCTTCATAGCCAGCTCCAACTTTCTTTTTAGATTTACTCAGGTTAATGTACTGTTCCACAAACTGATTAACACTGTCACGAAGATAATGGACTGTCAGAACTGGAAATCCTGTTCTTCTCCAGGGAATAAAGGTTCCAGAAAGGAGACATCCAAACTCACAGTTAGCACCATCTTCAACACAAGATAATCTAGAAAAAATTTGTTAAAATAACAATCTTTGTCTAACTACATAAAAAAGGGGAACAGATGTGTTCGAGGGATTTTTTGCGGAATTTTTTGTGGATATATAATTTAATAATTCACATTCTGTATCCATTTGACAACAAATGGTAGGATTAATACACATGTAAGAGGCTGTCTATTAATTACGTCAACCAAACTTTTTGAACAATTTGTCAAATTTCCAGAGATCCCTCCCCTAAAAAGTTACGTCAATTTTTGATTACCACCCCCCCTCCCCTATACAAAAATTTTCCGTTATTTAAGCAATGAAGCTTAAAAAGAAAAAATTGTTGACATCAACTTTAATTGACCTCCCTCCTTCCCCCTTGTCAACAATTGTCAAAAAAGTTCACCCTCCCTCCCCCTAGTTTGTTGACGTAATTAATGGAGAACCCCTAAAACAATGTAAAACAAACCTAAAAGTTTTATTTTGAAGAGGGCAAGACACCAACTCTTTAACTAGTTTCCTTGGATACAGATCACTGAAGTGAAGATAATGTGATGTGTTTTCTCAAAGGAAGCTGGTTCCTCTCCATCCTCTCCAGGGTGTTTCCAACCAGAAATCTTTTTCTTTTGCAGTAATTTGTAAATGTGTTTTTGGCTGAGGACTAGGAAACCTCTCCCATTTTCTAGTTCTCAGCTATACAACTATCACTTTTAACAAGCGCAAGTAATTTATAAAATATCACAAGTGCAATTCCCAACTGGCTCAGAGCGCGTGAATATAAACACATTCATAAGTCATGACTTTGATAAATATTCTCTATCAGTTGGGACGTCGTTATTTAAAGCACGCACGTAAGCTATTGTTGCAATGCGAGCCACTTATTAATGGTAGATTACAGGACACTTAAATCCTAAAAAGGAAGTTTATATATGCGTTAATCCTTTGTTAGAATTAATTAATGATTTATGAAGTCCTAAGAGATTATCTTGAAGTTGAATGGATAAACTATTCCCACTGAACGTACAAAAAAGCCCTAAACTAAGGAAATTCTAAACTTTAAAACCATCGGCGGGCGTTTAAGTTGACTACTTGAAAAAAAAAAAATTAAAAATCTTCATTATATTATACAAAAAGACCTTTAAGAAACAGTGTGCATCAAAATTAAAAGACAATTAAAAGGATTGTATTGCTCTGGTAAGTCACTTTAATTTTTCTTCAAAAATAATCATGTTTTGATACAATAAGTTTATCTGTGTTAATTTTGTAAGCAACTTGAATTTAGATATAAAAAACTGTAGGGGTCAAGGATATGATGAAACCAGTTCTGTCTTTGAGTATATATTAATAGTTTTTCTGCTCAGGTTCAAATTATAAGTTCAAAGGTCTTTTCAATTTATCTTTAATTTAGTTATAACAACATGTGCCTTTGATTTTAATTTACCTGTTACTTGGTTACTGCAATCAAAAACTATTGATGCCTTAGATGGTTTGCACCTTATTACAGCTCTTAAAAATAAATTTGTTTCCATCAGAAATGATAC